CTCTCTCTCTCTCTCTCTCTCTCTCTCTTTCTCCCCCTCACTCTCTCTCTCTCTCTTTCTCTCGCTCCCTCTCTCTCTCTGAGGAGTGTAGGCGAGGCCGCGCATCTTGTTGCTTCTGCTGCTGCGCCGCTGTGCGTGCTATTTGTGTTGATAACGATGTTCTCGCCCAGCAGACCCAGAATTAATGCGCTACTAGCCAGTCTGGCAGGGCCTGGCAGGCACGCACGCAGGCTACGTGCCCGGTAGCTGTAACGCTGCACCGCTATCTACTTTATGAGCCATGCCGGTCCAAACTTAGATATATAGTGCATCTCCCCTGTGTCTTAATGGCCGAAGACTGCTATTAATTTCACTGCAAATGACTTTCATGTGGCACTAGCGCGATGCGTGTCGGCACAGCCAGCAGCTAGGGTAGTCACTGGTAGCAGGTCAGTAGTGACGCCCCAAGCCCGTGCCGCGCGGTGACTCCGCGAGACAGCTGGGCGACCCGGCGCCTCACACTTATATCGAGCGTACATAATAGATAGTACATATAGAAAGTACATATAGAGAGTACATATAGAGAGTACATATAGAGAGTACATATATATAGAGAGTACATATAGAGAGTAGTAAAGAGTATATAATATAGTAGTATTATATAGTAGTAGAGGAGTAGTAATAGAGAGTACATATAGAGAGTATATAGTAGTATATAGTATATAGTAGTATTATATAGTAGTAGAGGAGTAGTAATAGAGAGTACATATAGAGTACATAATCTCTATTATGAACTCTTGCTTGTATCTAACTGCATTTGACTCGGCTGCCCCGTTGCGATAAACACGGCTACAAATAGTCTCACAACGCGTGCATCGGGCGCCGTGTTCAGCATTAAAATAATGAATACTGATCCAATCCGCGACTACCAAATTCACAAACAGATATCAATCACAGGGACTGTTATAGCAACCAGAACAAGGGGCGATGATTGTCACGACGAGAAGACTGCAACAAGGCTACCATGGCAACCAGCAGATTAGGCAATAACTCCAGCAGCAACTAGTCGACGGGACAACGGCTGTCATGGTAACCAGCAGAATGAACAATGGTTGTCATAGAAACCGTCCGACCGCACAACGGCTGTCATGGCAACCAGCGAGAGGCTGCACAATGACTGCTAGAGCAACCAGAGGACGGTCGACCGATTGTCATGGCAACCAGCAGACATCACGACGGTTGTCACAGCAACCAGTTGACTACCCTATGATTGTCATGGCAAACAGCAGACTACACTTTCATGACAACAATGACTGTCCCAGTGATACGTACACACTAGATATGTATCACCTACTGCTACATGACGATTCTGGTTGCCGTAGCACCCCAGGACGATGAACAGCTGAGAAGGCTGCAGCTTCCACATGCACCTAATTACAAAATAATGATGACACTTCGAAGAGCTGCTGAAACAGCTGCTAACAGCTCAATAATCTTCAAACACATTTTACTTTTGCGATGAAAAAAAATCCACACGATTGCCGGAAAAACCAGGTTTATCGATGGAATGTTTTTTTCTCTCTATTATTCCCGTATTAGAAATACTTAATAACACAGAGAGCGTCAAGTTACGCAACTATCGCCAAATTTACCTGGAGGCAGGTGATTTAAACTATCATCATCGGAACGAAAGACATCGGTTAGGGTTCTAAAACGGCGTTTCAAATAATTAACATTTTATAAGCACACATTGACAAAATGTCATCGGGTTCCAGCACATAAAAAATACCACAATTCCGACATAAACCTAAAATATTTACCGACCCGATAGTTTCTGCATGTAGAAGCGTCTCTTGTCAAGCTGTACTGATCGCCAGATCGGCTGCCAAAATTGTCCCCTCCGGCAAATATTCTACATTTTTCTCGAAATTGAACTATCATACGCTTTAGCACACGCATATATTACAATTAATTGCCCGCATCTTGTCGGAAAACTAACTGAGATTCGCACATCACGCCGCACGTTGTCTGATCAAGTCGATGATGACACCGACAACCGAGTTGCCCCTGGCATCGGCAATTTACTTCACGTCTATATTTCGATTGTGATTAACCCAGATGTTGGGCCTCCGCGCGTAAAAGTGATACCTCTGGGGAAATCTATCGTCACAAATCTGCGCAATCGAGTTGCTTAATCTGCGCGCAAGGAGGTAGTGTCTGTGTGCGTGCGTGCGTGGGTGCGTGCGCGTGCGTTGCGCGGGGAGTTGTATATAGCCATGGAAACCATATCGTAATATAGCTATACCGTGAAGCCGGCCAGGCACACACTCACTCTAACTCAAAAACTAAAATGAAAACGCTGAATGTTTCGACTCCTAGTTCTCGTCCACCTCTCACGTCAAGATGCATGATATCATAATCTATGCCATAAAGTCATATGCTATTTATTTTACTTTACCCTCACTTAGGAATATTACAGCTCGCTACCCGCAACAGAGCTTACGACTGGTCAACCAGATTGATGATTTAAGATGTATTTGATTCCGTGATGCAGGCACTACATTCTAAGCGCTGTAAACAGTACCCACGAAAACTCTGAGCGCTGCAAAAACCGTTGCGCAAACGAAGACCACTTTCTAAGATCAAACATGGCGAGCGGCGTGAACGTCGACAGTGGCGCTCTCTGGCGCGCGCTAGCAGCCGCAGCGGCGCGCCCCTACGCACGTGTGTAACGAGCCGCCGTCTGTTTATTTAGAGATGAGACACTTGGGCAATAAAAACGCGCGCTCGGTGCTGCAGATAAATGAGAATGGCCGCTCCCTTGCAGCCCTCTCCCCCTGCCTCCTCTCTACACCGCCTCACCTCGCACTCCCCCTACTCTCTCTCTCTCTCTCTCTCTCTCTCTCTCTCTCTCTCTCTCTCTCTCTCTCTCTCTTTAGTCATAGTATAGTATATATAGTACCTACGTAGTCATAGTATAGTATATATAGTACCTACGTAGTCATAGTATAGTATATATAGTACCTACATAGTCATAGTATAGTACGTATAGTACCTACGTAGTCAAAGTATAGTACGTATAGTACCTACGGTCTGGCCGTAGCGAGTGGATTGAATATAATGAGAACAATGCACTCCGATAGTTTACTAAAGGTAGCTCCAACAAGCCGTCGTGTTTAATCACTAGACGTATAGATCTTTAGTCTCACAACAGCGTCGTGCTATAGGGTAATATAATGTAGGAGGGGCAGAATAAGGAAAGAGAATACAAGGCAATATAAGAGGCTGATATACGGGAATCAGGGGGGTGATATCGGGAAATATAGATTAATATGAGGCAATATCGCGGAACACGCGATGGAGCCAGCTAAACTGAATGCGTGGAGTAATTGGTAGATACGGCATACAAATGAATTTTTCCTGAAATCGCTGGCGTCTAGGTATGACCAGACCAGCTGCCTGTGCGATTTTCCAGAAACATATTTGCATACAATAAATATACTTATACGGCCAGCGGCTTAGTCTGTAAATAGCGTATGCACACCCATACGCGGAGTACCATCACGCCCCCCTACAGGAATTGAAAAACCTGCACTTTCATACATAATGATAACTTCGTGAACCGGCCTGCCTGTTTATACCGCTAGTATATAGCCACTGCCAGAACCTCCCTAGTTATGCGGCTGGGGGCACAACCGATGGAAAAGGACGTGCAAAAGGGTCCCTGTGTATCCCCCCTTCCAAATCAACCCCGCAGATTCTTTGGTCCTGTATCTGGTTACCAAATGGCCAGCAGGCCAGAGAATTAAGGCGCACATGTTATCTTTATCAGAAAAAAAAACTGGAACCAAAACTAGGTCAGCAAAAATATAAATGTATTGGCTGAAGAGAGAACTGCGCTATTCTCGAACCAAGGCACAGATCCACTTTGCGGGGAAACTAAGAAATATTTGCTGTAGTGCTTGCTTGCTACCTGGACATACATAATTCAAACTACTGCGTTCAAATAATGTGCGGACGTGATTGCGCGCTGTATGTCAACATGCTGGGACATGGCGGCCCCATACGACACATTACAAACATGACTATCCCTGCATGCACGCACCTGCAGTTCTCTCTCGCGAAAACACACTCGCCGTTCGCTCTTTTCAAGAAACACACACACACACACACACACACACACACACACACATACTCCTATACACACACACACGCACACACACACACACACACACAACACACACACACACACACACACACGACACACACACACACACACACACACACACACACAC